ACCATCATTTGGTCCTCCAAATCCACAAACACATTTCAGATGACTTAAACACACCAGGAAGGAAAATTTTCATGTTATCATCTTGGCTGCTGCATATTGGTTTCATGAATCTTGGTTTCGTGTATAAGGATATTCAGGAAAAACTTGGAATCCAGGAAAGATGGCTGCATTGTTCTGGGACTTGGATTATGCTACAACTCCTCCACAGACACCAGCTCTACACGTCAGGCATACTAGCCCTGTGAGGTGAGATGTATTCTTTTACAATATTTGATAACCATTACACTTTGACCTGGTGAAAATGACCATCTTTTTTTGTTTCTATGATCGTTCACACTGTAGTTCACCCGTGCAAGACAACTTAGACTGGCCTTCAAGTGAGCAAGTGGAGTTCACAAGATTAAACCCCTCCAGAACTAAAGACAAGACAGGTCTGATAGCAGGTTTTGCATGCTTTTGTTGACATATGTTTTTGTGATAGCATTCAGTTTGTAGTTCGTTTCACCTAGTGAAATTTGCCTCTGCAATTTCATCATACATTTCAGAAGGAGAATGGCATATGGTAACAGCCACACGCTCATTGCTTGGCCAGAGGGGCCAGAGGGAGGGTTTGCAGGACCAGTGGAGACTGTCTTACAACAGCTTGCCAAGAGTGAGATTGTATTTATTTATTTTTTTCGTTTTGTATACTCCATCCCTTTCTCATAATATCTATTAAAAAAGATAAGAGTCTAACGTCTACTGTACTCTTCTGTAGGTTAAGAGCTTTATTAAGTGCTACTATTGGATCAGTCAAATTCACAAATGAATAATGCAATGCAATTTGTGAATTGGTACAATTGATTCACTGAAAATAAACTTCTCCAAGAATAAGTCATTTATGAACTCTTGCCCAAAGGTTTGACCACCCCTCCCCCCAGTTAAGCACAAACCCGTACCATAGCCAATTTCATTAGTCAAATCAATCATACTTTATTGATTCAGTTCGGAGTTTGGAAAAATCAAGGACTGATATTGTTGCAGCAATCACTAATGGTATCTACCAGGATTTGCTACCAGTGCTACACAATGCTAAAGTTAAGCAGTGGTTAATATTCACCATTTGTTTCACCATTTTCTAGGCAATCAGCACTGTCATTGACATGATCAATTAAATAATTAGAATTGGCCACAGGACAGAGTTTAGGACTTGAATTTCAAAATAAACAAGAAAGGGTATGTTTTTCTGAAATGCTGTGTATTAAAAGTCATATGTGCATAGAAATGTAGTTAAATTTTCCTAAAAATGAAAATGTGGTAAAGATAGCCTACTTGAAAAATGTACATGAAGTGAAATTACTTCGTTACTGCTTACCATTGCTTTTGGCTCTTGACAATTAAAGGAAACTGCATTTGAAAGATAAGTAACAATCAGTTAATTCAGGGCATTTAATCATGACAATTTATCATTCTTTTTGTTTCGTAGGCGCATTTTCTCCAGCCAAATAGAGAATCAAGTGCTTTTTCACCCTATGCTAATGACTTCTGCTTGAATGGTAGAGATGCCAAGAACATTGCTGAGTCCCCCAGGAACAGTCGTAGGCTGCACCCGCTGACACAGCCAGGCTTCTACAGTCCAAAAATCCCGCGATCAAAACACTGTGAAGCTGCACAGTCCACAAAAACGTCTTTAAAAGGATCTTCTTCTACAAACAACTTGAAGGAGTTCTTTGCTCTCACGTTGCCTCGTGCGTGCTCCAAAACTGCTGTTCTCGAAACCAGGTGAGATGCATAAATCATGCCATAATGAACAGTATGTGCAATTTATGTTGAATTTCCATGATGGTCCACGATTACTTTTCAGCCAGGGTTCAGGACTTGTAATATTATTGTGCCCCTCCTTCGTCTCCCACCCATGAGATCCCACGGGGAGGGGTGGGACAGTCAGTAAAAAGTGGGACATTCCCACCACATCGCATTAGAGTTCTCTGACCCTAAATTTAATCATTTTATTTATCACTGGAGTTCTGAGTCTGATTTGCTGTATCACAAAGAGAAAAAGGACATTCAAAATGGAATGAAATTACTTTTATGATTTTAAAATGGGTTTGTCTTTATGCTTACAGTGTATGTCCTTTTGCAACATATGGACTGCTTACCTTATTCTTTGTTTTTATGTGTCTACAATATGTGTGTGTCTATGGTCTTTGTGTTTTATTTCTGCCAGCCCTTTGTGTTCCAAACCACAAAAAGTTCAAACTTTTGTGGTGGAAAAGCCTCCTTTGATGAGAGTTGTGGTTTCTCAAACGTCACCGACCTCAAATCAACCCGACAAAGAGCACTTCAGCCAACTCCAGCCAAGAGAGGACCATCTCATCAAGAACCAGGACTGCAGTTTGTTCAGTCTGCAGGAGCCCAATAGGAAACCTCTTAGAAATGACCAACCTATCTGGAGTCAGAGCCAGAATTTGTTCACTGAGGAAATTTCTACTAAGGATCATCTTTCTATTAACACACTACATCTGTTCCCTGAACGCCAGTCTAGAGCAGACCAGCCTGCAACGCTTTGTCTTGTGGTTTCTCAAACTTCACCGACCTCAAATCAACCCGACATAGAGCACTTCAGCCAACTCCAGCCAAGAGAGGACCGTCTCATCAAGAAACAGGACTGCAGTTTGTTCAGTCTGCAGGAGCCCAATAGGAAACCTCTTAGAAATGACCAACCTATCTGGAGTCAGAGCCAGAATTTGTTCACTGAGGAAATTTCTACTAAGGATCATCTTTCTATTAACACACTACATCTGTTCCCTGAACGCCAGTCTAGAGCAGACCAGCCTGCAACGCTTTGTCCAAAATTGGAAAAGGCAAGTCATGAGAGATTTACCTGGAGTGTTGACACTGATATTAAACCATCTGAGGGTGACCCTGACCGGTCATGTCAACTTCAAGCCAGCCCAGCTAAACATGACTGCAGCCCAAAACAAAAGAAGACACAGTACTCACAACATGGAGAAACCAGTGATGTCAGAAACACTGAGCACAATCATATAAAAAGGTAAACAGATCTTTAAAGGGTGTTCTTATTATTTTTTATGTATTATTTTTATAATACTAGCTAATAGTATTGTGTAGTAGTGTTGCATATAGTAATAGTAGTAAAATGCATTTAAAGGGATAGTTCACCCAAAAATGAAAATTCTGTCATTAATTACTCACCCTCATGTTGTCCCAAAGACCATCGTTCATCTTCAGAACACAAATTAAGATATTTCTTATAGCTTTCTGACCCTCCATAAACAGCAATGCAACTGACATGTTCAAGGCCCAGGAAGGTAGTAAAAGCATTGGTAAAATAATCCATGTAACATCAGTGGTTCAACCTTAATTTTATGATTTTTTCTTTGCGCACAAAAACAAGTATTCTCATAGCTTCCTAACATTACGGTTGAAAAACTGATGTCACATGGACTATTTTAACGGTCAGAAAGCACTCGGATTTCATCAAAAATATCTTAATTTGTGTTCCAAAGATGAACGAAGGCCTTACGGTTTTGGAATGAGATGAAGGTGAGTAATTAATGACAGAATAAATTTTTTTTTGGTGAACTATCCCTTTAAAATTGCTGCTACCACAAGCACAAATCAGTAACTCTTTACAATTAGGTTTCTACACATCTCATTGGAATACTTGATTCTGATTGGTCAATCGCGGCATTTGGTGTTCAGATTAATATTCATTTTGTTTATAGCAACACTATGTATCGGTTGAAAAATGTCACATGGACTATTTTAACGGTCAGAAAGCACTCGGATTTCATCAAAAATATCTTAATTTGTGTTCCAAAGATGAACGAAGGCCTTACGGTTTTGGAATGAGATGAAGGTGAGTAATTAATGACAGAATAAATTTTTTTTGGGTGAACTATCCCTTTAAAATTGCTGCTACCACAAGCACAAATCAGTAACTCTTTACAATTAGGTTTCTACACATCTCATTGGAATACTTGATTCTGATTGGTCAATCGCGGCATTTGGTGTTCAGATTAATATTCATTTTGTTTATAGCAACACTATGTATCATTCTGCTCATGGAAGGAAAACCAAAACATAACTAAATTCAAGGCCAAGAGACTAACTTTTTAAAAAGTTAAAACTACTTTTAACTTGAGCTGCATTTTTGTAGCGTGTTAAAAACCAATAAAAGTAATCATCCGAAACTAATTTTGTTATTAGTTTGTTTTGCAGTGGTTTAACATCTATTTTTCAGTCAGGTGGATGTGAACTCAAAGAATGTGTTTGGTCAGCCTCGGGTGATTGCATCACTGCGAGCAGCATGTTCCCCGCGGGCCGTTCGCAAGAGCACAGTGGTGGAGGACTTGAAAAAACTCATTGTGATGGATGACACAGAGGACAGGGCTCAGGGTGATTCAGTATGTGATTTATTCGGCTCACATTCAGCCGTATGACCCTAAACAACCTGACAACTTAGGACAATAATTTGAAAAAGCAGGTATTGTTTCGCTGTGTATTGGTATGTGAGCAGTGTTGCCATGTTGCAATGTGTTTACTGTCTTTTTCTAGTCATCACTTCAACAAAAAGAGGCGGAGCTTTGCAGCAGTTTGCAAATGTCAAGTTCATGCGCAAGTTCGTTGTTATTCAGTCAAGCTTATCGATCATACCCAGAGTCTCCCCCACTCACACCCATCCATCTCCACCTGCAAACACGTCAAACAGGCAAGAGTTCTTCTTTCTATGAGGCATAACTTCATTATTATACTTAATGTTCTGTTGTAGTTCACATGTATTCTAATGGTTTTATCAATTGCACTTCAACTGGTATTACCTTGACTTGAAGAGATTTGGGATGTTTCTAGTACACATTGGCGCTCACTGGTCGTCTTTTCCTAGAATGCGGAGCATTGCCTGAGCAGGCTGAATTTGACCTATGGGACAGAGACCAACATCCTGATCCTGAACTCATGCCCCTGCCAAGCGCGGCCTGTGATCTTGACTGTGAACTCATGCCCCTGCCAAGGGCGGCCTGTGATCTTGACTGGAATAGTTTAGTTCAAGCAGCCCAAGAATATGAGAGTAAGTATCAAAGGACAAATACGTTGATTTAAGATTGTTCACATACTGTGGTCCCAATGTTTTTTGACAAAAGCCACAATTACAGATGTATAAGTGGCATCTGCAATATACTGTAGCTTTTTTTTTTAGAGCTAACGTCACTGTAATGAGCCATTTTTGCAACATACTCAGTGCAATGGTCATTTTTTGTGGATGTATATGATACTTATATTAAATTGTGATATTACTTAAATGCAACAGTTCAGAAAACAATAAATTTAATACTGAATGACGTACATTTTTAGATACCGTATTGCCAGATGTTTTCTCTTTTTTTAACTCAGTCAAAATAGTTCCAAACAAACCAGAATAATGTGCCTCCAAGCAGCACACAGCTGTGGTGTTTCATTCCTGAATGAGTCAGAATTTTTGAACAGTGGTTCAAAGATTTCCTAAAAAAAAAACTATTCTTTTTTTTCTTTTTTTTTGAATGAATGAATGAATGATTTAATGACTCATACAGTCACTTGTAACTGCATACATAGTGATACATTAAATAGCTGGCTTTACAATTAGTTTAATTCAGTGACTTATTGGTGGAAGTATTATTTAAATGGATAACTCCATGGTTACAATATATTTCCAGCACAAAGGATGGCAGCCCTTTTGTCAGAAATGAGTCCTGTATCAAGCAGGCCAGACACACCATCCAATGGAACCTACAAGATCCACCAATCCAGTGCCTACTGCAGTGGAGAAGATATAGAGTAAGCGGGCCATACTTTTATTAATTTAATGCTGTTTTGGACTGAGCATCTTAATTGTGAAACTGCTGCTATGTTCATTCTTTGAGTAATACAGTTAAAAACCTACACTGTTAAAAATAAAGGTTCTTTATTGGCATCTATAGTTCCATAAAGAACTTTTCACATCCATGGAATTTTTCCACAGATGCTATTTTAATGGAAAAAAGGTCCTTTAGATTATTAAAAACAATGTTCTTGACACCAAAAAAATGGTTCTCAAAAGAACTGTTCGCTGAAAGGATCTTTGTGAAACTAAAATGGTTCTTCTTTGGCATCACTGTTTTGGCAAACCCCCCTTTTGGAACCTTTATTTTTAAGAGTGTACATGAATGTTAAATGCCTTGCATGGTTATTTTTAGCAGTGACTTATTCATTGACTTTCCTGACCAACTCTCTCACCTGGAAGGGATGCTTAGGCGACTGAGTAGTGATCTGCTGAAGGTGAGGCTCATTTAGCAGTTAATAAATGAGTGTACTACATGCTCTTATAGAGGACAAGCACGCTCACAAGCACCATGTGTTCCTCTGTCCTTCTGTTCAGGAGAAGAGAGACAAGGTGGCTCTTCTGGCAGAGGTGTTGAAGCTTCGCATTAGCAACCAGCATCTGAGAGAAGAGTCCCTTTGTGCATGTGCACAACTACACAAAATCAGCAACATTTTAAACACGGCACCTGGAGAGATGGAGTAATGCAGGGTAGCAAGCAAAGTCTACAAGTCTGGATATCGGCACACTTTTTTTGCCCTGATTTGGGAGGTAAAAATCTGCAGAATGGATGTAAACATTTATAGATGTGTTACATGAAGCCATTGGTGACTGAAAGCTTTTTCAAATTAACCAAAATATTTCATTTCATGAACAAACATTTAGGGGCAGAGGTTATGTAGAAACATATAAAGCAACTTACAAATGACAATGTTCCAGTTCTTTTGATCTTTTTTACTGGTGCAGGTTTCATGCAAGCTTGAAAACCCAAACAAAATGAACTAATTTAAGGTTTATTAACAGCACAGTACAAACCAGAACAACTTTCATGAGGTTGGCAACTCTCTTGGGAAACATATTAGAGCTCCTCTAAGGCTTCTTACTGAATAATTAGGTTAAGGCTATAAAAAAGAACAACAACTATAAAACAGCGCAATATAAACATTATAATAAATATATAAATATAGATACCTAACAATTGCCATTTGTTATAAATAAGTAATAAAAGTCTGAATGTTTTATCTAACAATGTAAAGTCACAATGAAAAATGCTGAAAACAGTATATATTAAAACACTGAAAATGTAAATATGCTCTATGATGATACAAAAACAGTAGAATAAAAAATATACTTAAAACACAATAAATTAGTTATTTAAAAATCCCTGAGATGCAATTGTGTTAAATCACAACGGTGATTAACCTTAATAAAACTGTATTGAACTATACAATGCAGTTGTTTAAACATCAATAGTCTATTTGGCTCGTTTTTCTTTCAAGCGTATTCTCAGTGCAGTAGGTAATTGAGGTGTGAAGACCTTCATTTGACAGCTGCATACTTGTCTCTATAGGCCAGTAACATGTGCAGTGGACTGGGCACAAAGCGTTCTGCCTTCATTTCTGCCTCGTGTTTTTGAGCACGTACATTGCGGTTCTGCTGGCAACTGAAGCTCCAGGCTTTCAAGCTAAAAACGGAGAGAGGTTTATATGAAATTGCAATGCAACAAACAAGCCTGAATGAAGTTTGGAGAATTCCTACCAGTACAAACGCCTCTCCTTCTTGGGCAAGATGTGCCATAGATTGGCTAACTCTTTGGTGACCGTAGTGGACGGGATGCCAGGATAGGATCTGTTCCAGCATAATATCAAAAGTCTGTCATTATATATTCAAATATATTTAAATGGGTCTAATAGTTGTTTTATCATTGAAATAAGAAAAAAAGTACTCATACACACCTGATATATACTTTTCTGTTAATTCGGCAGAACATAATGAAGCCGTTCACACATTTCTTCTTAGGGTTTGGCTGTGTTGTAACACGTCCTCTTCTTGAAGTGTGCCTGTGTGAACAGACTTTTCTTGCTCTCTTCCGAGGAACGAGTTGTTTTGGGGTCTCATCTTCAGAGCTATTGTTCTCTTCCTCACTCTTGAAGGACAGATTGCTGCTACTTCCAGCACTCATGACAATCTGCAAATTTGAAGAACAGAGAAGATAACATAAATAAGAGAGCTCAAAGTAAAACAGTATCTCACTAATCTAATATAAAATAGGGGTCCAAAAGTCAACTAGTGAACATGCTTCTATGTATTTTTTAATTTCAATTTAATTTTTTCAATTCCAGTTTTGTCATTGCTATTTTCAGCATAACATTTTTAGTTACAAAGTCTGTACAAAGGAATCACATGATTGATCAGTGTCACAAATTAGCAGAATCTTCAATTAATTTTACATAATAATGTTTCCTGATTTGACATTTTTGAAATGTAAAACAGCTTAACCCTAAAAGACCCAAGCATATTCATGATGTATTATTTATTCACTCTTAAAAATGTCTTTATGAAACTATTTTTAGGCAGAATTTTCATTGGATTATAATTTGGAATACGATGCAGAACTGAAATGCTGGTTTTCAATACATTAAGTGAAAGTTGTCAATTGTGAAAATGTAGCACAAATGTATTTGTAAAATACTATATTTAAACCAGTAAAGATACAGTCAAGAAATATTATTTGTCTATTTAAATACTGTATTTTAAATAGACAAATAACGTTTCTTGACTGTATCTTTACTGGTTTAAATATAGTATTTTACTAATCTTTTTCTTATCAAAGCATATTTTAAATATAATGTTTTAATTAGAGTATTGTTATTGGTACTGTTATATCACTGAGACAATAATGATGAAACAGTAAAAAAAAAAAAAAATGAAATTTTTAAAATAATTTTTGTACCATTCTTTGAATGGGCTCCATTGTGTGAGAACAGTATACAAAAGTTTGACTCCTCATGCCCAGCATTGTATTTTTGCTACAAAAATGCAAGAAAAATGATCTCAAATGTATATACATTCAAAGTGTCAGGGCATGCAAGCCTTTTTCCATCACTAGACACTGTGTAGAAACAGTTATTTAGTGAAAGTATTATTTTATTACTATACACAAACTTTGCTGTTCTGTTTTGCTGGGTCTCTGAGGGTTAATCCAAGTTTTTCATTGTGATCTCAGTTTTGAGTTTTGGACCTCCCTGTATGTGCAGGTAACAAAGGATCACAAAATTTAGCCTACTGATCCATCTGCAAAGCTGCCTCGCAAACTGGGACTTTTTAAGACGGTAGATTCTGGGGTGACCCACACGTCCTCGAATAATGCTGTTAGGGTAAAAAAATATTGTTCAGTCAGCATTGCAGCAACACTGTCTTGTTTGTAATTTCACACTGTCAGTAATGTGCATATTTGGCTCCAAGCAGATTTTGCCTAACTGCCTAAAAGTTTTAAACAATACATTATTCATAAAACAACTAATGCATCTATTTAATAAATACATGCTTAGAAAAAAGATACAAAAGCTGTCAGTGGGGCCGGTACCCTTTCAAAAAGCACTGATATGTACCAATTTGGTACAAATATGTACACTTGATGTACAAATATGTACCTTTAAACTACTATTATGCACATTTTAAGAGTAAATAAGGTACAAAGATGTACTTTTTGAAAAGGTAGTACCCCAGTGACAGCTTTTGTACCTTTTTACTGAGATTGTATATATTGTAGACTGAGATTGTATATACTGATATACTGAGATTGTATACTTGCTAGTCTATATTAGTATAGAATGAATCGAATAATATACAGTATGTGTAGGCCCGTATGGATTATCTTTACTTTGTAGCGCCTCTCGTCCTTCTGGATGGAGAGAACGGCTCAGGCCTTGAGAAGGTGATATGAGCAGAGATGGGTTGAGGGTCAGGCTGTCTGCTTCCCGAAGAGGTGGACGAAAAGGCAGTACTGGTGTTTTTGGTAGTGTAGGGCTGAAAGTAAAACGCTTTTTCCATGCAGCCGGAAAAGCTCCAAGCATTGGATCTTTCAGAAGAATTCCTGATCTGAAGATATAGTAAAACATCACAATGAGTTACAAGCTTGCACACAGGCTTGCATACATCTCAAGCTGTCATTTCTCTATTAACAAACATAAATTAAATATCCAATATACAAACCTGGATGGAGGTGTATCCAACATATTTCTCCCTGGGCTTCCATCTTCACTTCCTGTCTGGTCTTCACAGAAACTACAGGTAGATTCAGCCTCAGTGCTCCCTGATTACAAAAAATAACCCCGGGTATCCTTTACGTTTCAGAATGTTGATTTAATTGATATCTAACACCAAAGAAAGACAAGATCTTTTCACCTGTATTGAAAGAGGAAGTTGTGGAGTTGGAGTCTATAGAGCTTTGTGATGGCTCGCTATCATCAACAGGCCACAGGTCTTTCTCCTCGGCAGTTTGGACTTCTGACAAATTGCTTTGTCTGTCACACACAAGCTTGTGTTCTTGCTCCTCCACAGCATTTATGATAAATCTCTCAGAGTTTTTGCTTTGAGGGTCCCTCTTTTTGTCACTTAATTGTACTGTTTATAAATGTATACATACAGTAGTGTAAGTGAAAATAAATACAATTTTATACAATGTACGATTTTTTTTCTTTCAATTCTTTAAATACAAAAACTTCACCTGTATACTTGTTTATGCGACTGTAGGTGTACATGTTCTTGGCTTTTAGGAATTGTGGTGGTGTGCAAGATAATGGAGTGTCTTCGCTTTCTGACTCTGATTCTGCAGACACACACACACAGGCCATAGTTTTTAGTATATATCACATGCCCCCTTCCATATTTCAAAACATATGCATAAAAAACTTGGATTGAGCATAAATAATAAAGCAGCTGACTTCTCTCATTGTTTTTGGATAGACGGTGAGGGTGACTCTTCAGACTATGAATGTGACTCTGGTGAAACTCAAAGCACTGCAGCATGTTTATCAGGGTGTCCTGTGGACACATAAAATATGTTGTTTTAAATAAATTATTTTTAACTATATGCATTATTCATACAATGTAGCAAATAAACATTTATTTTATGTTCGTATGTTTTAACACCTAGAGATAAACACACACACACACATACACATTATTATATAACACACACGTATTATACATTGTAAACAATAGCATTTAAAATTAATTTTTATCACATCAGACTGAGTACCAATGCGTTGATTTCGCGCACTACTATTCAATGCCATATTATTTTGTAATATTTTGTAATGAGACGTAATTTATGCTGGTGTGTAAACAGGTGCGCATACTTCTTTGATAACTGATAATTCGCTTCTATTTTAAGTTTTTATTCTTTTTAAATAGATGCGTATTTTCTTGTGTATGTATAGTTGCCTTACCTGAAATTATTCTCTATGGAATGCTGCAGCTATTCAAGTAAATTAAATCTCCTCCAACATAGAACTTCTTATTAGAATGACATTGGACAAGAAAAGAGCCAATCAGCTTCAGCGCTTACGCGGATCCTTTACACAGACCTCGTGACAGTTGGTTACTGGGGTGTTTGTCCATGAACGTTTTATTGAACTTTAAAACGTATGTATATTTTATTTAATATTAAAACACTTTCTTCAGTTTCAACCAATCCATTTGTATGCAGATTTTCGTAAATTTTTTAAAACAATGTCTCTGTAGCACTGTGTTTGTACTTCAAGAAGACCAGCATGACATAGCAACATTTCCCAACCAATGATGTGACTTGGAGGCGTGGCTGTCTCCGAAAGGAAGATCCCCATCAAGTTCTTTATTGAACTTTCAAAATTACCAAATTCAATCTGCAAGTTCTTCACATATTTCTCATATTTACACATTTTGTAAGTACAAATTGAGACAATTTTAGTAAAATAAAAAAAAAAAAAATAATAATTAAAAAAATGAACAAAATAATAAAAAATAAAATAAAAAGGGCATCACAAGCATATTTTAAATTCATTTTTATCATTTGTTTTCATTCAAATTAATATGACTTTTCTAAAACGAAAATATTTATTATTGATCTGTTTTTGTTATTAGGAAAATGTATATTCATCAAACTAAATGGAGTAACTTAAAACCCAATTTTGCTCATTTTCAAACAGCCTTTAAAGCTTATTTAGAATCTATAAAGTCTTTAAAAAACCGTAACGACCCAAAGTTTTATGGAAACCTGTTTGAAATCCATTTTTTGTCATTCCTTTTGCTGACACTAGGGGTGCACTAAATTACACAAATCAGCTAACGTGCAAATCTGTGCGAAAGTTAATAAAAATAGTTGTCTGCCAAAATAAATTATTTCCATTTAATCTCCATTTTAGAATGTTTTAATTAGATATTTAAATATTTTAAACTTATTATTGAATGCTGACTATATATAGCTTCCCTATAGTTATGTTCAAATGCATGTGAATATGAAATATATGTCATATTTATTGTCCTGTAATACTGCCGAAAGTAAGTGAGTACAGAGAGGACCCGCCAGAGTGAGCTGCGCAGATCGCTGTATGTTCAGTCTCAATAACATCGACTGCAGAACTGAGAATACGATTATTTACAGGCTGCATCGTCAAGAGGCACGTCAAGGAAGAAACAGACCGGCGTTTGTGATGAATGTTCCCCAGCAGTCCTCTCGTCGATCAGCACTATGAGCTGGTCATTTCTGTTCATTTATTTGATAGAGCAGTGCCTGTGCCAGTCCCGGACTGCTGCTGGTGAGTGTGTCTGTTAGGCAAAACCAGCTTTTTAGGCTCTGCATCTTTTGTGGGCACTAACAAGTTAAGTGCTTCGCCATTTAATTTTGCTGTTTGCATGAATTAAGCCTGTGCTATTAATTATTTATCAATATAATAATTGTATGACTTATTCTATTGTATATTTAAGTGTTCTAGTTTATCAGTTATTATAACTGCATGCATGCATAAACGGCAAAACCATAAAATTAAGTCTAAATGCACCTGATTATAACAATGAATCTAAGCAATTGGGAATCGTACTTTAATTTGTTTCGTCTAAATAAGTCAGCTTTGTGGTACGATTTGTGATTTTTGTGAACTGCTTATTGTATTTCCATTCCATGCAGGTGTAATCTTAATTTGGCATCTCTCGTAAACACAAGATGAACAGCATAAGGTACAAAGCAGCGACTGTCAGGTGGAACTGTTCCCTCGCGCGCTGTGACCACGCACTCATGTGCCGCGTGCGATTACTGCTGCTGTGCTTGTGCGTGCTGGTGGCAATGGCATTAACACTGGCAGTATCACTATCTAACCACCAAACCATAGAGTATGATTTGCCTCCCAAACCTCCTGACCTATTCAAAGACAAGGTAAGAGGTGTACAGACATTCAGTTTTAATGTCTTTCATTTTCTTGTGTACTTTTCAGTCATTTGTAGATGTGTTTTTGGAACATAACAGCCTTTAGCTGGTTCAAGCATTATGTGGTGGAAGATGGTCATTAGCTGGTGTTTGACCAGCTACCATGTTCCAAAAAACAGTATAACTAGCTAGTTTTTGCTAGTCCACAGTTATACTAGCTAATAATTAACTTACACTCTTAAAACTAAGGATTTTCATTAGGTTCCATGAAAAACATTTAACATCCTTGGAACCACATAAGGTTCTTTAAAGTGGAAAAGCATTGTTTAGATTAATAAAATGTTCATCACGGGAAGAAAAAAAGGGTTCTTTTAGGAACTGTTTATTTATACATTGGTGGCCAAAATGATTAGAACACTAGTATTTTCTCCAGCTAAAAAATGGTTTAAAATCAGTTATTTCTATCTTTTGCTGTAGTGTGTCAGTAGGAAATATCAGTTTACATTACCAAACATTCATTTTGCCATTAATTGTAATAATTTTAGCTGGTGAAAATACTAGTGTTCTAATAATTTTGGCCACCACTGTAGGTTCTTCGAGGAACACAAAATGTTTTTTCTATGGCATCTCTAAACTCTTATTTGAGACCTTTATTTTAAAGAATATTGATCAACTTTATTTGGTTACCACAATCCAAAACCCAGCTTTTTCCAGTGTAATTTTGTTGCAGTTTTACATTAACCCCTTGTAGTATACAACTAATGACTATTTCCCTTATCATTCACCTTCCACATTTACCATCTTTAACCTTTCATAGCTTAATCACCAGCCAGGTAAACCCACTGTTGCCCAAGTGAAGTGGCTCGTCTCGCAGGTTAAATGGGAAAGACTGTGGTATTCCCATCTGCGTCCCATTCTCACTGAACGCCAGCCAGGAAGCCGTGGGAGTCGGGCTGTTCGAAAAGTGAGACACAATCGATTTAGAACTATCAGCCTGGATTTTAGTTCAGTTAAATCTCAGATCTTACTAAATATGCTATAATCTGATGTCTCATTTATTCTGTGATCCTAGCACATCTTTTCTCAACTGGATTCTCTTTCGGCGGGCTGGTCTGTAGAAGTGGACTCCTTCATCTCCGAAACCCCTCGTGGCCCTGTTAGCTTCTCTAATGTCCTGGCCGTGTTGGACCCAATGGCTCCTCGCCGACTGCTTCTGGCTTGTCACTATGACTCCAAATTTATACCTTCAGATCCTAGTGACCCACAGAAGGTGTTTGTGGGTGCCAGTGATTCAGCCGTGCCTTGTGCTATGATGCTGGAACTGGTCACCGCTTTGGATCCACACCTCAAAAAGCACAAGCAGCTGGTAAGACAAAGTGTTACATCTCAATTTCAACACTGTTTTCAGAGGTCATTCATTTACCAACTAAATTTGGAGACATATAGCACCACTAGCTCATAAATACACGCTGTTCTGAAATGAAGAGAGTGGTTCATGTCTCTGAGGAGGTCATTTAAGCTTTTTTCAGACTTGTGAATAGCCACAGTGCTGTAGAAGTCAGAGTCAGTTCTGTTGTTTAACTTGTAATAGAGCCAAGAGCTACAAAACACTGCATGACTGGAAGGGAAAGATCCTCACGACCTACATACAGTAGCAGCTGTAGAATACCAGATTTCTTGATTTTCTCATCCTTGGGGACATGCAATTGATTTTTTATTTTTTTTTGCACAGAATGAAGCATCTTCCTGTGCAGGCCAGGTGGTAGGAAGATGGCCATTATTTTAAATGAATCTAAATTTTTAGTAAACAGAATTCCGCAGCAACAACTCCAGGATTGGAATCATGATTGATTTTTGGGACATTTGATTGGCTATTCACATTTACAGAGCAGATTCTTTTTTTTTTCTTCTTTTTTTTTCTGAAGATGTCCAGGGTGACCCTGCAGTTGATCTTCTTTGATGGAGGAGAAGCTTTTGAGCAGTGGTCTCAGACAGACTCGCTATATGGTTCACGGCACCTGGCAGACTCCATGTCGCGCATTCCTCACCCGCCGGGTTCTGAACAAACCACACTGCTGAATGCTGTGGTAAGTCAGGATCCTTGTGTATGTGTGTGTGCATTTGTTTTTAAAGGGATAGTTTACCCCAAAATTAAAATGCTGTCATAATTTACTAACCTCATGTCTATTTAAACCTGTGACTTTCTGTTTGTGAAACACACACTAGGTCCATATACAGTGAAAATCAATGGGGTCCAAAATTGACTTTCATTGTATAGACCAAAGCATTCTTCAAAATGTCTGTTATGTTCTACAAAAGACAGAAAGTCATACAGGTTTGGAACAACATAAGGGTGAGTAATTACTGACAGATGTTTTATTTTGGTTAAACTATCCCTTTAAGTATCTATGAATCATAAATATATGATATTTGCAGGATCTCCTTGTTCTTTTGGACCTTATTGGTGCCCCTGATCCCATGTTTGTGAATCACTTTGAGAACACAGCTCGCTGGTTTGACCGCCTTATCGCTGCTGGTAAGACTGATTTGACTTTCTATTAATATAAGGTATCCTGGTTAATCATTAATGGCCATAAAGACTCTTAAAACTAATGTTTGATCTGCAGTGGCTTAATTTAGAGTAGACAAACTATAAACCACTTACTGTAAAAGGAAGTACGATTTATTGAGTTATCTATGTCTACATTATATGCAGCATTTGAAATGAACACCTGCCAAATGCGGTTGAAAATCACATATGAACTCGCTAGCCAATTTGTCAGATTATGATGAATAAATTATGATTATCATATTATTTGGGTTGGCTTTTTTAATGGATGTCAATGGAGGAGAGACTTTGATTGCTGATTGAGAATTGACAGCCTGTGTTTACCATTAAACATTAATTATGGAGTGAGCTATATTTGGAAATGACAATGAAATGCTGTTTTATAAGAGAAGTCAAATCACATATTTTTATTTATTTATATATATATATATATATATTATGGTATCCACAAACAATGATTGACCGTATTAAAACTGAAAATCATATAATGATTCAGAATAAGATTTAATAATAATATATTTAAATCTAAGA